AAAACCCGGGTGTGTGTGTGTGTGTGTGTGTGTGTGTGTGTGTGTATGTGTGTGTGTCTCTGTGTGTGTGTGTCTGTGTATGTGTGTGTGTATATGTGTCTATTGAACTGCATTTCTGTTCCAATCTTAGTATTGAATTCACTTTTCAATACAAAGAAAACAACTACATGTGTGTATGTGTGTGTGTGTCTGTGTGTGTGTGTGTGTGTGTGTGTGTGTGTGTGTGTGTGTGTTGGGGAAAGAACTCCGGCCAGAGCCAGCAGCACGCTGTGTGGATTTCCCATCTCTCAAACTGCGAGTTACATAAACCTTTTTTCTTTTTTCTTCCTGTTTTAATTTATTTGGGTTGTTCGTATTTTATTGTTTTTCGAGAGCAGGTCTTAACTCTGCAGCCTGGAACCTGCTAAGTAGACCAGGCTGGCCTGGAATTTATGGAAATCCTTCTACTGCATCCTCCCACGCGCTGGGATTACAGGTGTGTGCCACCATGCCCGGCTGTAGTTCTGTTTTCTTTTCTTTTTTTTTTTACCGCTCAGACGGTGCTTGTTGGACAAACATGAAGACCCGAATTTGATCCCCAGAACTAATTACAGTTGCACAAGCCTGTAATCCCAGCGTTGGGGGGATGGGGTCGGGAGGGTGCCTCGGGCTTGCTGGCTGCCAGCCTGTCTTCAAGCCTACCGAGGCGCTCTCTGAAGAGAATGGAGGACTGACAGGAGGACACTCACTGTCTTCCTCTGGTCTCTTTGTGCTCGCACACACGCGGGCATATATGCTCACACACGAGTGGATATATGCGCACACGTACACACACACAGAGACACTCGTGTGCAGACACATGCACACAAGCACACACACACACACGTGATCACACATACACACATAAACACACGTATATGCTCACACATGTGCCCACACACGCACACACACATGTGATCACACATACACACATAAGTACTCGTATATGCTCACACATGTGCCCACATACGCACACACACACGTGATCACACATACACACATAAACACACGTATATGCTCACACATGTGCCCACACATGCACACACACACGTGATCACACATACACACATAAGCACACGTATATGCTCACACATGTGCCACACACACACACACACACACACACACGCACGCCTACTCACGTACACACACAAGAGCACACACACGTACAAATGCTCACACGTAAACACGCACACACACATGACCACACATGTGCACACACGCATACGCACACACACACATGCTCACACACACGTGCACGCAGGCACATAAGCATGTACATCACACACACACAGACACTCGTGTGCAGACACATGCACACAAGCACACACACATGTGATCACACATACACACATAAGCACACGTATATGCTCACACATGTGCCTCCCCCCACACACACGCACGCATACTCACCTACACACACACAAGAGCACACACACAAGAGCACACACACGTACAAATGCTCACACGTACACACACACATGACCACACATGTGCACACACGCATACGCACACACACACACACATGCTCACACACACGTGCACGCAGGCACATAAGCATGTACATCACACACACACACACACACACAAAGCTCTATTTTTTTTTCTTCTGTCCCTTTACATCAATCAATGTCTGTCCTAGAACTCGCCGTCTTCCCAACTGCTTTCCTCACAGGCTTGCACAACCATGCTCAGCTCCCAAAGGCCTGCTCTTCTGTTCCAGCGCTGCCTTCGCCCACCTAGCCGGGGCCTCAGGGGCTCTGAAATGGCAACCTGCACCTCTGCAGCTCGAGTCCCAGGGAAGCTCAAGTCAGTGCTGCTGGGGCGTCGACGTCACCTCTGCATGCACGCTTGCAAAAAACTGGAGGGGACATTGTCTCCAAATCAGGGAACCCTGCCGCCCCAGCCCCAGCCTGCAGCCACAGGGCTCCGAGTCGGTGAGCTGGAACCTGACTCCGAACGAGCCATGCCACCTGTGAAACTCTCTGTGTCTGGATTCTCTCTTCCAAGAATCACAGGGCCTCTCGAGTTCCTGCCTCTGCTTCTTAGTGCTCTTCCGGGACTGCTGTCCTTTGTCCAGCTTTACAGCTGTCGCCCGCAGAAGCATTACACTGACATAAGGGACTCCAGCGCACTGGAAAAGACGCTTCTATGCCCGGGTCATGCATCACTGAGGTCTCCTTTTCCACTTGCTGAAGCTCTGTCCCCGCCAGCGGAACCCCAGTCTAGCTACCCTTCTCGTGGACAACGTCACCCCTCATACTCTAGCTGGCCTCGACTCTGTCTCCCTTGCTAAGGGCAGAATCGTTTGTCAAAACTAGAAGTGGGAGGGGATTAAAAACAAAAAAATAGATAAAAAGGGTCTGGGGGGGGGCTGGAGAGATGGCTCAGAGGTTAAGAGCGCCGACTGCTCTTCCAGAGGTCCTGAGTTCAATTCCCAGCAACCACACGGTGACTCACAGCCATCTGTAATGAGATCTGGCGCCCTCTTCTGGTGTGCATAAAGACATGGAAGCAGAATGTTTGGTACATAATAAATAAATAAAATCTTTAAAAAAAAAAACAGATAAAAAGGGTCTAGGGACTTGGGGTAGTTGGTAGAGTGCTTACCTAGCATGTGCAAAGCTCTGTGTATTATCTCCAGCACCAAATAAAGCCTGTGTGATTGGTGCCCGCCTGGGATTCCAGCACTCACTCAGGAGGTGGAAGCAGGAAGACCAGGCATTCAAGGCCGCCCATGGCCACATGGCAAGTTCAGTGCCGGAAAGGGTCATCCAAGAATCAAAAAGAGCGAACCGAGGCAGCACACACCTTGAATCTCAGCACTGGAGGCAGAGGCAGGAGGATCTGTCTCTGTGAGCTTGAGGCCAGCCTGGTCTACATAGTGAGTTCCAAAGAGCCAGGGCTCCATGATGGAGAGACCGCGTCTCAAAAAACAAAAACAAACCAATAAACAAGCAAACAAAACCCAGAGTCATCAGATGGCTCAGCAGGTAAGGGTGCTTGTAGCCAAACCTGAAGACCTGAGTTCAAGACCCAGGACCCACACAGTAGCATGAGAGGATCAACTCCCACAAGTTGTCTTTTGACCTTTACATGTAACATGGCAAGCGTGTGCACACACCAAACACACACACACACACACACACACACACAGAGAGAGAGAGAGAGAGAGAGAGAGAGAGAGAGAGAGAGAGAAACCCCAAGTACAAGACTCAGCCTCAGCCTTGTACCAGAAGATGGTTTGTAGGTAGGATGGAAGAAGAGACAACCCAGGCACCCAGGGACGAAGACCCTTATTAATCAATTTCCATACAGGGCCAGACTCTGCAGGAAGAACTGCAAGGGGCTCTGATCCACATCCTCCTGGCCTTCTCTGTGTGCATTTGGACCACTGACCACAGCCTAAAGCCATCAATCAAGAGGCTTATGGAAGCGTCTCCTTCCTCTCACACTCTCCCCACACTTTCC